ACTTCCCCGCACGCTCCAAATCGGCACACCACCTGCGCCTTAAACGCTGCTGCAATGTGCCTCGCGCTCTTGCTAAGGATAGCTCTCACCTCTAGCCACTTGCTCACATGCTCAACCATGAGCACTATGTACTGGTTCCCGCTCCTGCTTAGCGGCAGCTCTCCCGCTAGGTCCAGGGACCATCAAATTCCCAAGCCACAGATGGGCAGTGACTGCAGCTCTGCCTTGGCCTGAGTAAGGTTTGCCTTGCTCCTCTGACATGCCTCGCACCCCTCTACCCACTCTTTCACTTGCCTGCGCATCCCTTCCCACCACCAGCTCGTCCTCAGCAGGTGTACGGTCCTCTCGTGCCCGAAATGCCCCAGCTTAGTATGCACTTCTCTGATCACTGCTTCTCGCTCCTTTGGCGCTGGCACCAGTTTCCAGCCATCCTCTGTTCTTATCTGCAGCTGTTGTTGATACCACCTGTAGTGGTGTCCTCGCGCCCTCACCCTTTCAGACACTGTCTCGTCTGCCTCGGTCTCTCCCTTCACCCATTCCATTGCCTTCTCATCCTGCCAGATGTCAGCCGGCCCCTTACTCCCCTTTGCACCGTTCTGCTCCACCTCTCTTGCCAGCAGGATCAATGCATGCGCTGGCTCCTGCTCTGTCCGTTTTGTCTCCAGTGCTTCCTGTTCCGTCTCCAGTGGCGGTGGGTTGCGGGAGAGCCCATCGACGTGCTGCAGCGTCTTTCCCGGCTGGTGCCTTATCTTAAAGTCATACTCCTGCAGCTTCACCGCCCACCTCACGTTCCTCCCTGTCAGCCCTGGTGTGGTCATCAGCCATGCGAGCGGCTGATGATCAGTGACCAAGGTGAACTCCCTGCCCTGTAGGTATATGCGGAAATGCCCCACTGCCCATACCGTCGCCAGCCCCTCCCCGATGTATGAGCTGTACTGTGCTTCTGCGGGGTTGCAGCTCCTTCTGGCGTACGCCACCACCTTCTCAACTCCCTCCACCTCTTGACAGAGTATTGCCCCCATCCCCTGACTGCTCCAGTCGGTGTAGAGGATGAAGGGCTGGTCTGCTGCCGGCAGCTGCAGCACTGTCGCCGTCTTCACTGCTGCCATTAGGTCTTGCAATGCCTGCCTCTGCGCCTCTCCCCACTCCCATGCCCTGTCTTCCCTCAGCATCCCGTTCAACACCGCCGCCCTCTTGCTGAAATCGGGCACGAATCGTCGGTAGTAGCTTAGGAAGCACAGCACGGCCCGCAGCCCGGACTTGTCCTTCGGTTCCCTCAGCCTGTCCAACACCTGCACCTTTGCCTGCTGAATCCTGATTTGCCCCCCTTGCACTTCATACCCCAGGTACTGCACCGTCTGCTCCCCCCATCTACATTTGTTCGGATGGCAGGTGAGCCATGCTTCTTCTATTACACTCAGGGTCTTCTCCACGTCTTCCAAGTGCTGCTGCTATGTCATGCTAAAGATGACCACGTCATCAATGTAGCACTCTGCATGCTCCACCCCCCGCAGCACTGCATCCATGACCCTCTGGAACACTGCTGAGGTGTTCCTCAGACCAAACGGCATGTACAGCCACTCGTACAGCCCATCCGGCCCATGGAAGGCCGTTTTCCTCACATCCTCATCTCTACTTTTGATCTGATTAAAACCCTGCTGCAGGTCTAGCGTCGTGAAGAACACCCCATTGGCCAGTTTGTCGAAGATTTCTCCAGCCATCGGCATTGGGAACCTGTCCGGCACCGTGATTTTGTTGAGCGCCCGGTAATCCCCGCACATTCTCCTGCTCAGCACCTCACCCGTCAAGTCCTTTCTTGCTGCTACCACGGTCGGGGTGGCGTATTCTGACTCGGACCTCCTGATCAGCCCTGCCTCCAGCAACTCCTTCATTTTCTCCTTGCATATTTCCTCATCTCCCGGCGGCATCTTCCTCCTGCGGTGGAACACTGGCTCATCACTGCTCAGCTTCAGCGACATCTCTTTGACCTTACACTTCCCCAATTCCTGCAGCGTGAAGGCAAATGCCTTTCGATGCTTGTCCAGCATCGCCCGCATTGCTGCCTTCCCTTCCGCACTCATGTTCTCCCCTATCTTCAACTATGGCCCCTCTTTCTCCTGACAAGCCCACACCCCTTGCCTCACAGTTGCTATGTTGGTCTCTCCTTCCTTCAGTCCCCAATGTAGCACGGTCTCTCTCCACATTCACTGCACTATCCACCTCAGCATGTATCCGTCCATGGCGTTCCCTATTGCCCTTCTCCTCTCTCTTTCACTCACGCCAGGTGCTGCTGTGACGTTCTCTCCGTACCCCATGGCTAATTCCCTCTCCAAAGCCGTGGGCTCTTCCCACCGTCCATTCATGTGATCATGTATAAGTCCAGGGCCCGGCTGTTCCCCATCCATCCTATATCCTGCTGCCCCTTCATATGACACCAGAGTGGGTAGGGCCCGCCTCTCTTGCCCCACCTGGTTGCACGGGTAGTGCTTGCTGTAGCTTCTCTTGCATACTGGTGCTGGAATCCTCCCCGGCTCCAGTATGTTGCTCACCTTCCGCCCCTCTGCTCTCTGTACTCCCTCTATTTCTCTTTGCAGGTCATCCACTGGCGCCACGTTCTGCCAATACATCCTGAGTCGGTGTGCGTATGCTCCCATCCGCACCGCGTCACTGCTCACCCCCTTTCCCACTTGCCTCTTCACTTTCTCCCTCACCAACCTCACTGGTTCTCGGACGTCTCCTTCCATGTCCAAGTGCTCTAACAGGTATGCCACTCTGACTTGCCTGACCTGTATCCACTCCATGATCTTGAACAAATCCTCAATCAGTTTGGTTCTTGGGTCCTGCTCACCCTTCCCCTTTCCAGTCCATGACACCCCTTGGCATTCCCACCCTGCCACCAACAGATCCACGTGCCCCCAGCTTGCTACTTCAGCCTCTGTTATTGCCTTCACATCATTCACTCCTCTGCTCATTGCTGACCTGATCATTTCTCCTTTCAGTAGCTCTGAAAACTCCTTGTGCAGCTTCCAGGCATGATGCTCTGCCATTTTCCTCACTTCCGCTGCCTGCTCCACATAGATCCACTGTTTCACTGCTATCCCATTCCGTACCACTGCTGCTAGTCCTGCCCCTATTCCCCCGAACAGCTCTACCAGCCGGATGGGTTGCTGCCAGTCTGTCTGTTGGCATGGCTCATCCATGAGACGCATCCTTGGTTCCCCTCCCCTTTTCATGCCCGCTGCGCTCTCCAGTGCCCCCTTCTTCGCTGTAATCTCCTTCTGGTCTGCACGGTAAGCCCTCTTTGGTTCTGTTTTCACGAATTGCACCGGCAGCTGTCCTAGTGGTTCTCCCTTCCTCCACCACCTGGTTCGGAACTCCACATTCTCCTTCTAAAAGCAGATGGTCATACCCAACGCGAATATCATCTCCGTGCCCACCAACACATCAAAGTATTCAGACTCTGAAATCCCGCATCTGATTCTAACCGGCGTCTCATGCTTCTCCCCCTGCAGTACTGTCAGCTCTATCGGAGTCCTCGTGCACGGCATCCACTTTGATTCCCCTCCCTCTGCTGTCATCACTAGCATCCCCTTCATCACATGTCTGTCCGGTGCCCACAGTCCCAGCTTCTTGGCCATCCCCTTCCCTAGTATGACGCTCTGTGCTCCGGTGTCTATGATCGTTGTCTTTGCCTTTTCCCCTTCCACCGTCAGCGCTCCATTCCGGACTAGCAGCACTGATGTTTGACATGCTAGCCTCTCCTGCGGGTGACGTGCAGCTGTGCGTCTCTCCTCCTCTTCCGGCTTCTGCCCCCTTTGCCGCTCTTTCCTCACCCGTTCCCTTCGTGCATCTTGTCCTCCATTGCGCAGCCCCATCTCTTCTCTCCCTCTCCATGCCATGTACGCAGGTTGCTCCTCATGTTATACCTCGTCATCCTCCCTCACTCCCCAAGCCATAAGTGCTCCTTGCTCTTCTTGTGCCACATCTTCTTCCTCCTCATCCCTTACATACATCCCTGCCTCTGCTTCGCATCGCGGTCCCAGTGCCTGCAGCTGCGCTTGCAGCCGGCTGATCTCTTTCTCCTGTTCCTCCAGCTTCTTCTTCGCTGCTCCCTCGCGCTGGTAGCAGTCCTTTGCCGCATGTCCTCCTCTCCCGCAGGTCTCACACTTCGGTGCTTCAGGGCACTCCCTTCGCCGGTGCCCTAGTTTCCCGCAACTGTCACAGTTTTTGCACTCCCTGCGAATGTGTCCCGGCTGTCCGCATCTGTGGCATATCCGTGTCTCTGGCCTGCTCTCCCCTCGACCCGCTGCCTTATCCCCTTCTTCAGGTATGATCGCCGCTGCCCAGGTCGGCCCACGACTTCGCTCTGTGGTCCTGGGCTGGTATGCCTCATACTTTCTTTGTGCCAGCTCCATCTTCTCTGCCAACTCGAATACCTCATCCAGCGTTGTGTCTGCCCCCGTCTCATACACCTTCATGCGCAGTCCGTTCCCTATGGTGTTATCCAGCCCGTCCAAGAACTTGCTGGCCAAGAGGCCCATATCCGCACACGTCACGTCCTCCGCCAAGTTAATAAAGGAATTTCCCTTATCTTTTCTGCGGTATGCCCAGGAAACTGCCGCTGCAGCCGCTTCAGGAATGCCTCTGTGGGGTCTTCCCCGTACTTGCCCGCCCTCTCTAGCAGCTCATCCATCCTCATTCTGTACAGCGTCTCTGCCTCTCCTTCCATTGTGTTCGGCAGACTTGGGAAGAAATCCACCGCATCCATGCCACTCCTCTCGCATCTATATCTCACATTCCCCACTTGCATCAAATAATTCTTCAGTGTATGCCCCACGCGCTGGTTTCCTGAGAACCATGCCGGCACTTCCACACGTGTGACCATTGCTGCACTTCCGTGCCCCTTGCCCCATGACTCGCTTGCTCCCCTTTCCTGCCTTGCTGCCGTTCCTCTTCCTCTAGCCGGCTCAATCCCCTTCCTTGCTTCTCTGGCGCGCTCCATGCTATATGCCAGACCGCTGCCTACACCCTTGCTTGTGTGCTGTTCCTGCCTTGCTTCCCATCGCCTTCCCCCCCCCCCATCCTTCCTCGCTGATCTGGTGAGCAATACGGCCGCGCCCATTCTTCCCTTCGCCCTCGGTGCTGCCAGCGTTTCTCAGGCGTCGGGGATCGTCGAGCTCTCCATCCTTCCGGCCCATGACGATTGTCCCGATGACGCCACCCCTCCTCCCATCTCGCTCCCTGTCCTCACTACGGATCACGTTCTGGTGAGCGATATCTGCCTCCATACCTCTTGTCACGCCGCGGATGCTGATCCAGCGAGCGGTACTCGTTTCCCCCGCTCACACCCCGTTCTTGGTACCGATCTGGCAAACTCGGCTCGCCTCCCCACCTCCCTTCATGATGTTTGCGCAGATCCGATGTGCGTAGCCCGCTTCCCTGCCCTCCTTCGTGTTGCTGATACGGATCTGGCGAGCGCATCTCGCCTTCCTGTCTTCCGCCATGGTGCCGATACGAATCTGGCGAACGCGACTCGCCTCCACGCCTTCCTTCATGGCGCTGGTGCCGATCCGGCGAGCGTGGCCCGCTTCCTCGCACTCCGTGATGCTGCTGATGCGGATCCGGCGAGCGCGACCCGCCTCCCTGCCTCCCGCCATAATACCTCCACGGATCCGGTGAGCGCGACCCGCCTTCCCGCCTCCCGCTGTGATACCTCTACGGATCCGGCGAACGCGACTTGCCTCCCCGCCTCCCGTCACGATGCTGACGTGGCTCAGGCGAACGCGACCCGCCTCCCCGCATGTCGTCACGATGCGGGTGCAGATCTGGCGCGTGCGGACCGCTTCCCCGTTTTGCGTCATGCTGCCGGCGCAGATCTGGTGAGCGCGGCGCATCACCGCCCTGCTCCCCGCCATGCGCCTGCTGTCCAGAAATGTGCGCTTCCTTATGCGCACTTCGTACGCTGCCCGTTCCGCCCGTCTCTCCTTTGCCTGCTTCTTCCGCCTCGCCTGCCTTCGCAGGGTTTGCCTCCGTTGCTTCCGCCGGCATGTCGCGCTGCTCGCCTGCGCCGTCCTCCTGGACTTAGCCACCGTCCTCAGCCTTGTCGTCGTGCTCGGATTCCTGCGAGGTGTCCGCCGCTTCGTCCTCTCCTTCTCCGCCGGCGTTGAGGTCTCCCTCGCGGCCCAAAAAACAGTCCTTCCAAGCCTCGCCCATGACTCCGATCTTCGCGACGGCGATAGCTTGCTGCCGGCGAGCGATACGCTCCTGACTCCCGACGATGCCCAAGATCACCACTTGCTCCATGGAGTGCTTCCATACACCACGGATCACTTCCAGCCAGGGCCGATCCCGATCCGCCCGCTCCAGCTCGTGCGGATCCGCTCTCTCGGCGCTCGGGCCCGAGAGGCACCTGATCCACGCGAAAGGCAGGCCTTCGCGGCGATCTCTCCAGCGATCGCCCCCGCTCCCATGAGTGACCGCGCCACGAGCGATCCTCCTCGCGACGACCATACGTCCTGCCATAACACAGCTAATATCCGTCCATCCTGACACGCGAGCACCTTGTCTTTTGTTATGAAAGAGATTAAACTCCCACCCCAAGGGTCCTCCCTGAGTGGTGTGTCACCTAGCTGTAAGATTAAGGCAACCACAATCCACCATACGAAATGGTAACAAAAGACAAGCAACGAGTGAGTGTGTGAGAGTGACTTTACCTGTCCCTGGCTCGAAGCATGCATTTCACAATGTGCGTCTCGAGCATGGGTTGGTTCGTTCACATTGGTTCCTTGAATTGCACCCCTCGGAGCTCTCCTACCAACTTCGCGGCACTCTCCCTGGTTCCCAACTACCTACACCCCAAATGTTCACATTCGGCAATGCTAACCCCAAAACTACACCACAGCATAACTGACACCTTATATGCACTACCGTGCATATTTGGTGACAGGGCCACGAAGCTACGACGAAGCTACGGGACTCCCCCCTGCGGAAGTGGCAGTAGTCGACCCGTACTACGGCAACTCATGGCACCAGCTGGGGCGGACCTCCTCTTCCCGATCAGTACGCCCCTGACACACCAGAACCTACAGCAGAGGAGTCAGAAGAAGAAGTGACTTATGAGCTCTTCGGAGAAGCAGCGGAATCACCAGAACCTACCGAGGAGCCGCCGTCACCAGAACAGGGGCCTCAACAAATTGAAGTCATCGGTGCCGAATACAGAATCCCGATGAAATGACTCCCTGTCTCTGACAGGCCCAGGCCACCATCACCACCATCAACGCATCTGCTCGTCACGGGTGACCAAGTTCATGCCACCGACACGGACGACATCATCGGAATTCCGCATGCCCTCCTCGAACAGAGCTCCACTCAAGCCTTCGCAGTTGACGTCGGTGCCGCCACTGACATCAGTTCTGAACAGCAAAATGACGCATCAGCACAGTACAGATATTTTTAAAGAACAGTCGGATACCGCGCGGATCCCGAAACGTGGCATCAGTGACTCGGTTACCCTTCACACGCCACACTCAAGAACTCACTCAAGGCCAGAGTCTTCAACGACAGCGCGTTGCTTCTACTCCGGAAAGGCTCACTCACCGCGGACTCAGCTGACCCGCCATGCACCGTGTGCCCAACCGCATCACTCACCCACAAGCCCTTTCCTGACTTACCCCCGGAATACGAACACTACAAGCCGCTGGACAAAGTCTACAGCGACTTCATGATACTCAGCGACTCAGGGTTCGACGGTGAACTGTACACGCTTACCTTCATCACTCATGCACACGCTACGTCTGGGCCATAAACACCGACTGTGGCTCTCTTGCCTTCGAGTGCTTCGTGGCGTGGATGAAGCGGGCTGAGCATCAATCTGGACTAAAGCTGAAAAGCTACCAGACAAACGGGGGTTTGGAGTTCTTCTCAGCGAAGTTCAAGGAACTTTTCAAGCAGAAAGGGATTGAGCATCTGGTGTCCCTGCCCTACGCTCACGAATAGCAAGGAGTCGCAGAACGGACAAACAGGAGCCTCGCTACAAGGATGAGGGCTCTAATGAAAACAGTCGGCCATACCAACCAGATATTGGTCGTTTGCGATGAACCACGCTGTTCGGCTGCACAACCTGCTGTCCTCCTGAAGCCTTGAGAACAACATTTTTTCCTACAGGGCGTGGACGGGCAGAAAAGCAGACACGCGTTTGCTTTGAGTGTTCGGCTGCATGGTACAGTACTGGCCGCATACAGCAAGGACGGGAAAGTTTGCTGACCGGGCACGTTGGGGCATCCACCTCGGGATCGAAACAAAATACAAGGCGTGCATCGTGCTGGACTACGCGACACACAAAGTAACAAAATCACGTGACTGCATCTTCTATGAGAAACTGACACTGCCACTGTTCAAGGAACACCGCGAAGCAGACAGAGCGCCAGAAAGGGTTTTTGAAGGCCACCGCAGCTTCGCCACCTCCCACGATGAAGTTGACCTAGCGGAAGACGCTGACGCAGCAAATGTCACACAATTTGACACCGCCCCCAGCATCCCCCTTACACGACCATTCAACACTCCAAACTTCATACCTGTCTCCCAATTCGATCCTGATGATACAACTCGAGAAGCCCATAACTACAATAGTGAGGCGCGCCGATCTCCGGATGCTGAGTTACCAGCTCCAAACGCCTCGCAAGAAACCATCCGCATCAGCAACGAAAGCGACGACGACGTCGTCGAGGTTACCAGCTTCCACGATTACGATTGTCTCCACTACGAAAAGACCAACGAAACTGGTCTCCGCATACTCGGGCTCGCTATTGCTATTCGCCACACCTCCCCCAAAGAAAGAACCACCGTTCGCCAAGCTCTGTCCGGCCCCGACAGTGAGAAATGGAAAGCAGCCATGGCTGCTGAAGTCGCGGCGCTGAAGAAATGCGGAACATGGAAGCTGGTTTCACGAACATTAGCAAAGGGGAGAAAAATCCTCAGCGGCAAACTCTCGCGGACGGCTCCATTGACAAATACAAGGGAAGATGGGTCATCCGGGGCTTCGAACAAACTCACCTGGTGGACTTTGACCTGACTTACGCACCAGTCGGTCGACACACCTCAGTGCGCATTCTCATCTGCATCGCAGCCGTCAAGCAGCGTCCGCTCCGTCAAATCGATGTCGGCATTGCATTCCTGTACGCTCCCGTCGATGCCATCATCTTCGTTGAACAGCCACATGCCTTCGACGAAGCTGAAGACGCCGTCTGCCTTCTCCAGAAATCCCTCTATGGGATCAAACAGGCACCTCGACTATAGCAGCAATACCTCCACACCGTCCTTACAGAGCTCAGATTTAAGCAACTGCCACATGGCCTCGGGATGTACCGTAAAGAGTCGCGCGGCAAATTCATTCTCCTTGTCGCCTATGTCGACGATCTACTCTATATTGATGACGACACGGATATGCTCGATCGATTCGAGGCAAAAATTAAGGAGAAGCTAGAAGTGACAGTTGAACTCAGGGCTCTCCCTAGCTTTTGAGGCCACCTGATGCATCAGACGAGCCCTGCGGGCCCATCTGATCCATCAGTAGATTTGAAAATTTCGTGTCTGACGCATCAGAAACTTTCCAAGTCTACGCTTGATGTATCAGACAAAAACGTGCTTCAGGCTTGCGTGGAATAATTGGTCCTTGTATTGGGCCTGCATTACTTGGGTGAAGCATGGCAACTCCCTCTTTGCCTTCTTCCAGTTGATACTTTCAAGCTCAAACAAGACATGTAGTAAATATATAGGGGTATATATGGTAGAGTGCGTACACTAACAAAGACATAGTAATTCAGAAAAGCACCAACTCTCCTTGCCTGGAAAAGCACATTTTTCGCTGTTGAACAACTTGAACCACTCAGCATGTTGAAACTAGCGGAATGGAAAGTACTAGCAAGGGTTGGGTACTAGTAGCAAACCCTAACAATGTTGTACCGCCTAGTGCATACCTCACTATAGCCTACCACAAACATATAACATTTCACACACCCCCATAGGCTAAGTGACGGATAGCTAGAGAGAGCAACAACCGCAAATGGTCACAAGATTAGTCAAGAGAAGAAAAAAAACCAAGCTCGGGGTAGATCTCAAGATCACCACACAGTCCGAGCACAAGCAAGTGGCCACAAGGCCAGTTCACATGCAAAATTATCACTGGAATGGCAGTACAGTGATCAAAACCTAGCAAGTGTACACATGCAAGTATATATATAAGTATACATATATACGTACATATATAGGAGAGTACAGCAAGTAGAAGACGAGCATGTGAGGCAGAGTAGACACAAGGCCAAGACCCAAGGGCCTTGGTGAAAATATCAGCAATGTTGGCCCCTGAGGCCATGTAAGAAAGGCGAAGCTGACCACGCTGCTGCAACTCTCGCACAAGAAAGTAACGAAAAGGCAATGTGCTTCGTTATGTGCTCCAGTCTGTGCTCCTGACACAAGGCAATCATGGCCTGGAGGAGAGCTGGAGGAAAACGAGGCTACTCACCCATGTCGGTCAGCAAGTAGGCCAGCCAACGTAACTCCGGCGCAGCCATAGCCCCAGCGTAGATCTCGGCCTCACAGCTCGAGCTAAACACAGAAGACGAGCAAATGGACCTCCACGAGAGAGAGCCAATGTCGAGGCTGAAAGTGTGGCTCGGTGAAGATGGGAAGTCGCCTGGTAGTTGGCCCACAAAGCGTCTGAGTGCCCTGTGAGCACAACTGAGCCCCGTCCCCCAAGCACAAACCACACGCCTAAAATACTGGCCAAGTAGCGCATCACCCTCGTAGCAGCCGCCAGTGCTCAGGGCGGTGTATTCTGGGCGCTACATAGCGCGCGAGGATGCTGCGAGGGTAGGCGAGGTCAGACCGAGGTACATGAGGCAACCCACAAGCTCTGAATACACACTGCTAGGCTCTAGAGACTCGTCCGAAGGTGGAGCTGAGAGCGAGTGGCCTGTCGGAAGAGGAGTTAGCCGTGGCCAGGAGAACTGAAAACGGAAGCGCTGAACGACCAGCTTCACCATGTGTGACTGAGTCAGGGTGATGGTGCATGCTGCTCTGTCTTGGGTGATCTGCAAGCCAAGATACCTTCGCAGCTCACCCAGGCCTGAGCAAGTGTGTCTCTTCTGCAGCTCCGCCTTCACAATGGCAA